TCAGAGAGGAAGAGGAGGACGAGGATGAAGGAGAGAGCAGAGGAGCAGCTGGTTGGACGTCTCATGCTGCATGAAATCAGTGAAGAACATGAAGTAGTGTTTGAGATGATTTATAAATCAGGGAGAAAGTGAGTCATACTTCTCAGACTGCAGAGGACCCACACACAGAAGTGAAAGAACAACAGGGAAGAAGCACAATTTCAAAGAGGAAGCCTAAAAAGTTTCATTCACAACACAATTCTGCAAAAGTGAAAGGTGTTATCAGAAAACAGAGATGTCTTCAGCTTCTCACACACCCTACACCTAATGGTTCCATCTGTTAAAGCATAAGCACATGAAGTTTTCAGTCATGTCGCAAATAGCAGCCTCCATTCTTGTGGCTCCAGGGTATTGATCTTCTTTGAACAAAGCCAGTGCATTGAAATCAGAGCAGGAAGCAACAAATATCATCTCAAAGCATTGACTTGTCAGCATTTTATATTTATACATTTATAGAGCAGTTCATCCCATGGGAAAAATAAATGAAAGAACCTTTGCACCTTTCACTCCAGAAATAGCAAATGCTTGTCTAATATTTGTGCATTTTTCATACATTAATCACAACTCGATTCATACATTTTTACATATTATGTAAAATGTAATGTAAAATGAAAATTGTATAAAATATAACACAGATATTTGTAATTGTTTTTTAAAGTTATTTTTCCATACGGAATTTTCCAAATGTTAAAATAGAAATATGTAGTATGGAAACTGATGTAAAGGTGGGTCCAAAAAGCCAAATACACCACTGCAAATTTTAAACCAGGCTGCATATCCCATTAGGATCAATTTTCTGTTCTGCAAATTAACGCGGACACATACAAATAGGGATCAACACCTTCGCCAAGCTTAAAAGCTAGCTTAAACATAAAGGTGAGGTCCTAAAGAAAGGCCTGTAAGGTATATGATTTGTGTCAAGATGTTGCATTCACGGATGAGCACAGATATGAAGCTGTGGACAGGAAACCGGGGCTGAATGTGATCTGAACAGATGTACATAAATATGGCAAAAATCTGTTTCACATCCTGCAGTGAAGGTCATGTTTCATCGCAGCAAAACAAATACCATATCCGGGGATTTTTGCAGGAATTCGAGGTTTCTTTGAATTTTGTCCCGGGGCTGGAATTATTTACTATTTATGTTAATAGCTTGTGACATAATTTTAATGCATTTGTACATTTCTATGCAGATGATACAATTATTTATTGTGCTCAAAACATCAAGATGGTTTTTAAAGAATTACAGCTGGCTTTTGATTTTATACAGTCACAGCTGTGTCAGCTCAGACTGATTTTAATTGCTGAAAAAAACCAAGATCATGTTGTTCTCAAATAGAAACAGCATACCTGCAGTACTTACCTCTCTTGTATTTGCTCAAGACAATTTGTGTTGAAACTGTGGCTTCATACAAATACTTACAGTATTGTGATTGATAATAGTTTTTCCTTAAAGCTACATATTGACCCCTG